CATGTCGTGTGGGGTGTTGGAAGTGTGGTGCTTTAACAAGGTCAATCACTCCACCCACCAGGTAGCCTACCTACTGCATTGAAGAAACAGAACACAGAGTGAATAAAGAGGTCAGGAGACTGTCACAATATGTCCAAGGTGTAGGGCATAGTTAACTGATGTGCTGAGCAGTCAGCTGGCACACCTGATATTCATTAGCGATTGTTTCCAGTGACCTGCTACTTCTCCTGTCGATGCTGAACTGGAAGCAACCTCTACCCTTTGTGGAGTAAGTTCTCTTTTATTTTCACCTAGTTAGCTACGTTACTGACAATGGAAAGTTCCTTCTCTCATTGCAAACCAATTTTCTGACAACAAAGACGTTTAAATCAAACTAAATCTTGTGAGGATTTGAATCAGGATGTGGTGGTGTTAAAATAAAAGATGGGAACAAGTTGGACAGGAAGAGTGAGAGTCTTGAAAAAAAAGTGTTTTCTAATGTTCCAGATGGCACAAGGCCACCATCATCCCCGGCTAATTCAGGAAGGAGGGTGTTCAAACATGTCTGACAAGAAGCAGCAAGTGACCTTTAAGCTGGAAAGGCTCGGCTGGTATTGCGCCCTCACTGTCTTTTTTCATCAGATCTGAAGGTGCGGAGCAGAGACACATCCTTTAGCTCAGGTGAGTATGAAATGCCAGTCTGTCAGCTGCTGTCTGCTCTTTGCTGTACAATACGGTATGAACAACAAACTGTGCTGCTTTAAGCTCATCTATCTGATCAGGTCAAAGTAGCCTTCGCTGTGACAGGTTTGTTGGAACAAAACAAACGCATGAATCGAATATCAGCATCTAGAAAACAAACCTCTTCTTCGGGGTAATGAGGAGTTCGTAACACTGACAGCTAAACCCTTTTTTAGAAACTCTTCTTGTTCAAACACATCTGATAAATTTAACAGTATGTCTGAAGAAAACATGAAACAAACCTCAGCCTTATTGCTCATATCTGATCTTTCTTAACAACATTTTTAAAATGTGGCTAAAATCAAATTCCAGTGTGAACTGTTTGTGCACCTGGATTGTCCAGCTATTTTGTGAGCAGATAATAGTGAGGATGAGGATGAGGAGAAAGAGAGACAATTGTTTTTTCATGTTTTTAAAGATTTTTGTATGGGGGCATGTTTGCTTTTATTTAGTCTGTGTCACCAGATGTAGACTGTGGCCATTAGCCTGCCATAGTATAGCCAGGCTTCACATCCAAGGCATATATTATTATTTCACTAACAAAGACCGCGCCAACAGAGTTACAGATTGCAATTAGTTTATCACGTATAATGGATGATGGGGATGAGGGTTGAGAGATGGAGGGATAAGGGTTGAGTGAAGTAAGGAAGAGGATAGAGGGATGTGGGATGAAGGGACGAGGGTCGAAGGGACAAAGGGAAGTAGGGAAGAGGATCACGGCATGTGGGATGAGGGTCGAGGGGATGGAGGGATGAGGGGATGTAGGGTCAGGGAAGGAAGGATGGTGGGGGGAATGATGGGAGAAATCAGAGTTGCATACAGGTAAAGGGTGGAATCTGATGGCAGTCTGGTGTCAGGTGAAGGAGGGAGAGTGCAACAGAACCAGGAAAGTTGAGACAGCGTGTGGAAGTCATCTCACTGCCTGCTCTACTATGGATAGAGCCTCCTAGTGATCTCTGTATTCTCTTGAAAAAGAAAAGGCAGACATGACAGCAGAAAGAAAAACAACAAAGAAAATAGGTTTTGAGGGACGGATGTGAGAACAGGATCAAAGGAGAGGGAAATGGATTAGACTGAGGCATGGTCTTTGTTCCTGAACTTAGCTATTCAACTTCATTAAACATTATGAAATTATGCTTGTCTTTTTAATCACTACAAATTGAATCACACTGTGACATGTGACTGTTAATGTGCACTGTGCATTTTCTTTTGCGGGGCCATTTGAATGAAAAAGCTCACCATCCCACACGCAAATGTTCCACCAAAACACGTTCACCCCTGACACTATTTTGTAAAAGCACCTCTGCTGTATCCAGGGCTTAGCACCGCCAGAGACGACACTGATTGGTTTAAAGAAACAAAAAAAAGCCAGCATGTTTTTTTCCCCTATAGCAGAAAGATAATCAATGATTTGAGACCTCTCTCTAGCCCTGACACAGCACTGTGGAGAGAGGTCTGCCTACACCAGACCAGCATTTATTAGACAGGAGAGACAGAGGGGACAACATATAGCAAAGGGCCACGCATTGGACTGGAACCCAGCCTGCTATCACTCAGCCCAAACTGGTAGCATACTCTAGCAGGTGCAGAGAGCCAAATATTTAGTTATTGGCTTTTTGTGGAGCAATGGCTGATTTGTCTGTATGGAGGTATGTGTGGCTGCAGAGCCAGAGCCAGGAGTGACATAAATGGCTTCACTGAAACAGATTTCATACAAAATTTCAGGCTGTCAGGGGACTTTTAAGTACATCTGTCAGTGCTGCTCCACAAGACACTCAGGGCAAGACACTAAGCTCAGGGGAGTGGCGTTAAAGTTGCATGACTTCCAAAGACTGTTTAGACTGAGGTCATATTGCAAAATAAATCTGACTTGCAGCTGGCATATGAATGTAGCTCAAATCAGAATTCAAAAGATCATATTCCATGTAATTTGTGCTGTTCACAGTACTGTGGAAAAAAAAACGGTCTGAGTCTTTGGCCTGCAGTCTGAAAGTACCCTCAGTTCCAGAGAATTTATATAATGACGTGAGATCTTTCACAACAGGAAGCTCTTCAAAGTAAGATTCATGCAGTATTCCTTTCATGACTAATCGCTACCTGACCTCGTTGAGCTGTGGGCTCCTAGTTAAAATAAATATCAAGAGTTTCCCTGCATTATTCATCACTGGCTGACCCAGGTCTACCCATGAATGGGAATACGAGAGTTTCAATCAGCTTCCCATTAGGATATTAAATGAGTGCAGCAGGTTAAATCACATGACATTTCTCTTCTCCTGTCTGAATAGCAAATGATAAACTGCCAAATCAGAGCATTTGCACATTAATATATGTATGGCTTAAGCTTTCAGGCACAAATATCTACCATTCATATGATGCAAAAGATACAGACAAAAACCATAGCTCAGGTTTTCCTGTACCTCGACAATGTCACAGGACCAACACAGACCAAGCATGGAAGCTGGAAGGAAGGTTTGACAGCAGGCAAGTCATCGATTTAATATCAAAACATGACACGTGAAAAACTCATAAAGGGAATAGGATTTTATTGTATTTGCTATATAATGGTATCAGGCACTACACCACCCTAGGCAGAAATATCATTTACAGTCTACCACCATTAAATAATTCACATCCAACACTCCTATTCGCTAGTGGTTAGTTGACGTGTGAGTGGTTTCTAGATGTGCTGATGAGAAGCAAAAATGTCCACGAGTGTAGTTATTAGCCACGCTAATTCAGCTCCCGGTGCGGTGCACAGATGCTGACAGAGTAGAGCTTAAAGACCAATGAAAAATGAGACAGTTTTTGTAGTGTAGAGCTGAAATGTCCAACAATGGCCACCGTACAGAAAGTGAACCCCACTAGTTGGAGATTTTCCTGCAGTACCACTATCAAGACAACCTCTGCGCTCTTTCCCACTAGTGGTGAGAATCTAATAATAGCAACGTATCATTTTTCATTCATCCGAACAAATGTTTTCTGGTGTGTAATGAGCATCACAGCCTCACGAGGCCGCTAGTCTGACCAGCAAACGCTTGGTCTTGTTTTCTCTCACAGTGCATCTCAAATCATGACAAAATCAATAATAAAGTCCTAGTACCATGATGGTTTTTTAAAGCACACAAACTATACTACATAAGTATACCAACAGTATTAAGATGGCAAATGTTTTCACAGAAAATAAATAGTTTACCAAGTCAAGTTGTGATGGAAAATGCAGGTGTTTTTAAGAGTACTTGCACATGCAAAAAAAAGTGCCCCAGTTTGATGTTTTCTGCTTATAGTGACACAATGAAATAAACACACTGACAGACACAACACTAATAAAATTATCTATACTCTGTTGATGCTTGAACAATTACCAAGTCTAGTTTAACAGACATAAATTAAAGCTACAGTTGGTAACTTTTCTAAAAATAACCTTTTATCATATTTGCATTCTGCTTCCTTCTGTGTATAAGGCTCCCTTGTACCTGAAGTGAACTGTGTCCTTGGAGAGTTTTCATTGGTGTATGAGAAGCTTGCTTTGTAGCTGTTCTCATGACACTTATCAGGTAACCAGAGGCCTCCCTTTGCCTCCTTTTTGCTGTGCACTTTAAGTTTTAATTATGTGAGTGAATCTGTGATTCTTTGTCAGACCAACAGAGGACATGCCAGGTGTCAGAGCTCTGACCTTTCAGCTGAAATAAATTGACTCTGTTATCACACAAATGACAACTTGATCATTTCACTCTTATAACTTATAACTTATTTGTTCACCTCTGCCACCACACTTCCTTACCTCACGTGAACGAAAACAACAATCAAAGCTGAGGAGTCTGTAAAGCAGCTGTCAATCATGTCAATCACTACTTGTAAACTGCGGTCAAACTCAGCAGCGCTTATCAAATATGAATCAAGATTCTTTTGCTGCGTTGCCTATTTCTCACCTCAAATATTTTCAGAAACATATTTTAGTGTACTGTTTATCTGTAAAATGAGAACGTTTGTCGGGCTGCTGAAGGGTGCTTGTTCATCTGTGTAATTGTTTCCAACATGGCAGTCAGGGCACAGACGTTTTCATTTTACAGATAAACAGTACACTAAAACAGTGGTGCCCAACAGGTGGGTCGCGGTCCAAAAGTGGGTCACAGGCCCATTCTGAATGGGCCGCAAGTGACTCACAAACATGTCAAGATTGTAAAAAAACAACAACTTTATTTTGAGGTACAGTGAATTTATGGCACAGAGCTTTTATTGTGAAGTGCGGTTTCCTGCTGTAGAGTGAGTGACTAATGGACAGCCACTTGACAGAGACAGCAAACTAGCTTGATGACATGGCCAGTATGACGGTGAATGTATTAAACTGTGCAGACAAAATCTGGACCTTGCGGCTGGACCAGGTGGGAACCACTGCACTAGGTAACGCAGTAACAGAATCCTGATTTGTATTTGATCAACGCCGCCTAGTTTGACAGTTTGGCTGCACATGAGCTGTGATAGACATGACTGACAGCTGCATTAGACTCATCATCTCTGAATGGTTGTCTTCAGTGCACTGGGGTAGATTATGCCAGATAATGCCATGAGAGGTAATAGGAGGAGGAGAAGGGACATGATTTTTTTCACAGACTTTTTGTCTCATATAATTCTGTGTGTTTGTTGTGACGTTTTCAGCAAATATGACAAAAGGTTATTTTCATTTAAGTTACCGACTGTAGCATAAAGATTTAATTTGGGGCTTGGTGTAATCCACGTCCCTGAAATAATCCTGTTATATTTCATAGTTTTGAAATGGAAACACTGAACATAAATTATTGTGTAAGACAAACACTTATCAGTCACTCTAGTGTTGTGAATAATATTGAGTTGTTGTAAATAGTGGCTTTAAATGATTCTGATTGTACTCTAATCTGCATTCATGTGGTTCCAACTGAATATCATTCCTTCATCCTATTCACTGCTACATGGGCCTTAGTGCATGAAGAAAAAGTGGCTGATAGCAGGATTATGTCAGTTCTATGTCTACGTCTTTGTGTCTGTGAGGCCTCATTAAGGTGCTTCCACTCAGAACTTGCTGAGGGGCGGCAGCGCCCCCGCCTTCACTAGCACAGCTGAGAGCAGGTCTGCAGGCCCAGAGGGATGGGGAAGAGGAGTGGCTGAGGGATCTCCATGCTTGTTTTCAGAGTTCATAGGTGTGGGAACCTTCCCTCTGTTTAGCGTGGTCTTGCAAGCCCCGCTGCCCCCTCCTCCACTGGTCTTGCTATTCTCCCCTGTGGGGATGACTGTGCCCAGGTGTGGGTTGCCCACCACTGGAGTCCCTGTGTGCTCCATGCTGGTCTGACAGCAGCACAGCAGCCTGAAGAAAGCTGCCCTCATCTCCCTGCTGGACAGTGTGTATATCAGAGGGTTGAGGGCAGAGTTGAGCACAGCCAGGGCTATAAACCAGTCCACCTGGTAGAGCACAGGGCAATTATCTGGGCTACAACCAACGTCCAGCAGCAGCAGGAGGAAGAGGGGGGTCCAGCACATGACAAACACTCCAAGAACAATAACCACTGTCCGCAGCAGGGCCAGTGAGCGCTCTGAAGGCCGGCTGCTCACCCTGCGGCCGCTAGACGTCACCAGGCGGTAGATCCTGATATAGAGGATGATGATGGCCACCAACAGGGCGCTGAACACACTGATGCAGAAGGCCACATAACTCTTGGCATAGAGCGGAAGCACTGTGGAGCAAGAGGCCAGATTGTCCAGGCAGTTCCAGCCTAGGCTGGGCAGAGCACTAAGCAGCACTGACACAAGCCAGCAGGCAGCCAGCAGTCCCAGAAGTCTCCCCCGGCCTGCTGTCTCACACGGACGCAGACGCACCATAGTCATGTGCCTCTCAATCCCAATGGCCAGAAGGCTAAACGTGGACGCGCTGAGGGCCACGAACATGCTCCCTTCTCTGGCCAGCCACTGCACTGGTGTCAGGAAGAAGGTGTTGCGTCCTGAGGTAAAGATGTTGACCACATAGGCCACACCAGCCAGTAGGTCTGACAGTGCCAGGTTTCCTATGAGGAAGTACATGCGGCTGTGGAAGCGCTTGTTCCTCCACAGAGCGAGCAGGACCGTCACGTTCTCCAGGACAATCAGCACGCAGATGAAGAGCAGCACGGCCATCTTACAGGCCCCGCCGCTGCGAGGCCGGTCCCACTTCCCTGAGTGGTTGTAGTGGTTGACGATGACAGCGTTCATCCCCTCCTCTAGTATGTTCCCCATACTGCTCTTCCTGGCCTTCCTCGGTCACACAGCAGAGGGCGCCACAGCACTGGACACAGCAGAGGGAGGTGAGGCTCCTTAACCAGGCAGGGTCATTACTGGCATCTTAGAGCCTGAAGGATCTGCCAATGAATGCAAGTAAAGAGGTCAAATTCATTTCTAAAAGTTATGTTAATCACTTTAAAGTCACATCCAACAACACTTTGAATAATTTCTGTAAGACAAAAACTTCTATGAGGACTCTAAGAAATTAAAGCAACTGTAAAAACATCAAAAATAGCACTTAAAATAGCAAATAAACACAAAAAGCCTACCTGCTTAATATTACTTAATCTAAGCAGGAAAGTGCATTACTGAGATTTAAAACCTCTCACATGGGGGTACTGGTCAAGATAGCAAATGACACATATATAACACACCATAAAACTCACAAAGAACTCCATCAAATAATGAAAACACAAGAAAAAGAAGAACTTCCCTTTTTCTTTTAAATTTATTGTCCTGTTGATACTGAACAAACAGCTGTGGTAGTTACTGCTGTTCATAAATTATGAGCCATAAATGTAAACGTTGATGTAAAAGGTAACATGTTATCCTGAAGTTGGATAAGCAGTTTTTTTCCCATCATAATTAAACTGAATCGTGTGTATCCCAAATTAATAAGCACTTTAAAAGGTGCAACTTGTCCAAAATAAGTTTGTTGACAACGTTTTAAATACATGTTTGAAACAGGATTCCTGCTCTTAAAAACTCTCCTGTTTTGGAGAAGTTGCTCCAAGTTGAATTTAGTGATCATTTGGGAAACAACATGCGAAAATAAAGTGTCTGCCAAAATAAAAAGTCTAATATTCTTCACCACAGCCACAGCTACAGTAACTTACCTTTTGGAGTCACTGGTCTCATCTAAACATCCCGGAGGCGATGTGTGGAGATCTGCAGTTATGTCTAAGTTTTTTATTCTCCTGCGTAATGGTGTGGTCGCGCAAAATACGCGATTGCCAAAACGAGATTAACTTCTATATAAAGTCAAAAGTCCAGATTGTGTCTTCGCGCGTATAAAAATTTCCAACCACGGAAGTATTTGCTCCCAAACATCCACTTTGCTTTGTATCCTGAACTTCATCAGTGTCCAATCCTCTCCACACTGCTCTCCAGCTGTGACCGTCCCGCTCTCACCCCTCCCAGCCTGCGGGGCGGGCTCTTCCCTCACCTCTCCATTAAATTTTACCATTAATTATGAGTCAGGAGGGAAGTCACAGCCACCGTCAGACGCTGAAATTACTACAAAGATGTGTCACTCTGTGTTTCTAACGCTGCTTTGCTTTGCATTTTCAAACAAGCTGCCAGGGTGAGTTTGATTGATGTGTTTGTTTTTTTTTTAAAGTGCGGTTCAAAGCAGGGCCGTATCCATGGAGGTGACATTAGGGGGGCCAAATCTTCCAGGGGCTTTCTGCTGGGGTATGGAAACACCACTTGGACAAAACACACACACAACGTCACTCTAATGCTACAACTGGTGACTTTGTTAAGCTTGTTATTTAATATGATAACATTTGCAAATAATATTTTTGGATGGCCGTGCTGCTGCCTGTTGTAGCAGAGCAAATTATGTTTATATGTTTTTATGAATATATTGGAGGGGGGTATTTTTTAGCTTATCTGAAAACCGAGGGCGATGTGTATAGAGCCCAGTCTCAGTCCGAAGTCACCGAAATCCGACGCTTGGGCAGTGACTTGAGGCACCAGACACTGATGAAAAAAGCTGTCCTTTAATGTCGGCATGATACACAACTGGTCGCTGTTTTAGTTTAACTGTGCTCGGTAGTGTCAGTGGGAAACATGGTGGGACAAGAGCGAAAGTTAAGGCGGCAAAAGTCCACGTAGGGTGGGTAGTAGGGGTGGTGGATGGGTCAAACAAACACGGACTTTCAACTGAGAGAGCGGTGTTCATCCCGTAAGATTACAAAGCCAAACCCTGTTCTTTTTTCCTGAACCTTACCTTACATGCTTTTGTTGCCTAAACTCGACCATGTGTGTTAGATGTTGGAAGAAAAAAACGGCAATGCACATTGTTGTACTGGTGTAGTGCGTGTATTTTGGAGAAGACAATGCGTCCCAGAATGTCAACAGCCAACGTACACAGGGTACCTTTCACGTCATATGCGAATGCGAATGGTCCATGATATGTGCCGAGGTTGTAGTGAGAATGTGTTCATGTGTACCCCTGATACAAGCACTGCCTTGGTTTAAAGAGTTTTTTGTGTTTGAGATCTGCTGACTGTGTCAGACAAGAGCACCTAATTTGTTTCAATGTGTCATTAAATTGCTATGCTTTCACTACATGTACCAACACATGTGACAGCGTTTAGCCCCGAGGCCTTATGTGCACCCTGTAGTTGTGTCATCATCCTCTGATAGATAGACCGCCACACCTTGTTCATCTACTGCTCTGCATTGGTTGCATATTTTCAAGGTTGACAGTACTGAAGGGACTCACAGCAAACTCTGTCCCCCTCGTTTCATTTTATTAGAGCACAGAAAGCCAAATCTAGATTCTGTCAGTGTTATCTAAAAGTTGGCCACAGACTGACGTGTTTATTTTCTTTGTTTCTCGGAATTCACCTCCTCCACTGACGGGCCAAGAAGTTGCAACCCATTTTATGTATGCGATTTGGTGACTCATTGTTTTTCATGTTGAAATAAAAGATGACTGAGTCCCTTTGCTCCTTCAGAGTGTGAGATAGGTCAGACCTCTCCTGTTGGAGCCAACTGGAATGGACGGAAAGAGAAGAGTCACACTGTCCTCCAACTTTAGGGACTTTCTTAGTGTTATTCTAAAGAAATATGTCACTGATAAAACAGAGTATGTGGTGCTGAATGAAGCTGTGGGGTATTACTTGTGGTTTCATCTAGAGGTGTGCTATATCATATCGTTCATGATAATACCGGTATCATTTTTAATATGATATGAAAAATTCATATTGTGATTAGAGGAGAAATGGCAGAGCATAAAGGTCCACCTCTTGATTTATATATACAGTATAGATCCCAGGGCACATTTTTGTATTTGGGAGCTAAAATGTGTAATTTGTGGTAGATTTTGTTTTGTTGAACTACTAATATTGTATACAGAATCTGAACCTCACTCTGAGTTATTGTTAAAGAAATGAGAGATCATTTTTGTTTAGTTTTTACTAAATATCAGAAGTGTTCTTAAATTAATAATGAAATATTTGTTATATCGTAAAGAATATCGTCATTGCACAAATACCCTGAAATATTGTGATATTATTTTAGGGCCATATCACCCACCCGTAGTTCCATCTGCAATTTACGGGGTTGCATGTCCAGTTACAAAGAGTGGGTCGCATCATTAGGTCAGAGGCAAAAAGTGTGATGATCAATTATTGTAGAAAGATCTCGATAAGCAGAAACAGTAGTGTACAAAGGATTTAGAAACCCTTATTTGAAGCAGAGGTAAAAGTTGTAAAGGCATTTTAACATGGGAGTCTATGGTGATTGATTTTCTTTTGGAGCCAGCCTCAAGTGGACATTAGAGGAACTGCAGTTTTTGGGCATTTCCACGTTGGCTTCATTGTTTAGCCTCAGAGGTTGCTGCTTGTTCCTGCTGCAACATCCTGGTGTTGTGTAACTTGAGGAACCAACTGACAGGTGATGACACAATGCGGAAACCACAGCTGGATGTGGCTGGTATGGGAAAGGCTAACGGACTGTGACTGACCCTCTAACACCTCCTCTTCAACTCTGTTAATCCCGCCCGCTCCAAAAGCCCCCTGACCCTCTCTGAGCTGGCTCTGCATTGTGTTTAAAAAACAGAGCGCACGTTCCCATCGAATTCCCTAAAGTCATTATTCCAACCGCCGGATGGTGCAATGCATGGAAACAGAGGGGTATGGGCTGTTACTCCTCATTGTTTATGCTATGCAATTTATTGCTGTTTTCCCACATGACAGCCACTGACTTTGAGTACCAATGTTTCACATTCAGCCTGGGAGAGTGAGAAAGAAAGAGAGACAGAAGGTGGGAGGGAGGTAAGAAAAACTGACCAGGAGCAGAGCAAAAACAGCAACAGGAAGACTGAGAGAAATATTCAGAGAATAGGACTAAGAACAGGGGAAAACTGAGGCTTGGATTAGGATTCAGGGTGGACGACAGGGTCCTTTGTCCCTACATTCTTTGATTTAGGTTTATTTGCTTTATCTACAACCAACTGTGGAATGTACATATAACTAAGTACATAATCTCTCAAGTGAAATTTTGAGGTACTTGTACTTAACTTGCGTACTTTATATGCTAATTTGTACTTGGCTACATCTACATCATCAACTACATCTATTTTACATACCAGTACATTTCACATGCAAATCCTATGATCAATTTCATATATAATACAAAAGGAATACAGTGGTGGTCTAGGGATTTAAAAGACCATTAATGCCAACATTTGTTGCATGTCATTCCCGATCTCTATCTCTCTTCATTTCCTGTCATCTCTCTATTGTCATCTGTCTAATAAAACAAAGGTTACAGAGCCCACCAGCTCCAACATTAAAATTCTATATAATATGATATGATATATTCATTCATTTCCTGTAACTGCTTATCCTGTTAGGGGTCATGGGGGGCTGGAGCCTATCCCAGCTGACAGGGGTACACCCTGGACAGGTCACCAGACTATCACAGGGCTGACACATAGAGACAGACAACCATTCACACTCACATTCACACCTACGGCCAATTTAGAGTCGCCTTGGAACTGGGGAACATTTAATTTCAAAATTTTGTGCACCGTTTTGCTATGTTATCTGGGTTGAACGACATGATTCTCTGAAACAGTGTACAACGGGTTTTGAGGTACGTTTCTCTCATTTGGTGGGTGTGTCAGAGGTATTATCCAGTCAGCAGCAACATATATATAAATACATGTCTGGTAGATCTTTACTTACTGTACTGACAGTTTTTGTTTACATCGTTTGGCAATGTAAATATATGTTTCCAGGGCTAATAAAGCCTATTAAACCCCACCTTACTAAAAGCTAGTGCACTTCCATAACACAACAGGATGTTCAATGCACTACCTTTTCATTTGAATAAACGTTTTGCTACATTATGTCGGGGCTGGACACAGCCTTGGACCCTGCCTACAGCACACCTGCCAGCAATCATCTCATCCCCAGTATATCAGTATATCAGCCCTGGCCTTTCCCCCACCTGTTGCCAAAATGTCCCAGCCAGCTATGCTATGACCTCTAGCTTTGGTATCCTTGAGAGGTGTTGTCCTCGTGTTCTTGCATGCAGAGTTACTGTTGGTTTGTTCCCTTCGCTCAAGGATTCCTGTTTGCTTGTATGCTTATGTACCAGTCTGCCTGCATGCTGACAGTCTCTACCCCACTTTCTATTCCACCTCTTCCCTCAGCTGTCTCCAAGCACCCCGACTCTCTTGCTTTTGATACTTAAAGTACATTGTTACAATAATAGTTTTATTCTTTGACTTACAGTTACACAGTTTGTTGACGTTCTGGGACCATGTCAAGTTGTGACTATTACATGCATTGTCTTCGTTCAAAATACACTTCCGTTTTCACAGGAAATTTACCGTTTACATACAGTCTCTTTCGTCTCTTGCGTCGGTACAACAACTCCAACTGACATTTTTTTTCTCCTCCAACTATCGCATGTGGTTGGGTATGTTTTTAGGAAAAAAGAACAGGGTTTGGCTTTAGATCTTACGGGACGCGAACAAAACTCTCTCAGGTGAAAGACGCCGAAACTATACTGGCGTCTGGAGTTAAAGGACACCTTTTTTCGTCAGTGTCTGACGCTGCGAGCCACTGCCCAAGCACTGGATTTCGACAACTTTGGAGTGAGACCAGGCTCACTTGCCAGATGCAGTTGCCCAGGCCAGTTGTCATGGAAGTTGCCTTTTGACAACTGTTGTTTCCAGCGTAAAAAAAGAGCATTCAGTATCTGCTTTATCTGTTGTATTTGATTTGTACCTAGTTGGTTACTGCTTGAGGACATAGAGGACAGAAAAAACATGCATATTGTAAGATTTTAGAGAAGAGAACAGGACCTTTGTCTACAGACATAGGATGTTTATCTTGTTTAGGC